TAGCTATCATATAAGGCTGCTCATTTTAGGATTGAAAATCAATATAAATTAATAGAAATTTTAATTTTATAAAATAGAGATTAGAATATTATATATTAATATATAAATCAAATAATCTACGGTCTTCAAAACTTAATTGAATTTATTTGGTTATACACATTTCTGTGTTATGTCTATCCAAGAAAAAGTCCAGTCAATGCATGAAAGTAATAAAATATATAAAAAAAAACACTACCATAAAATCTTCCCTAGCTATTTATTACCCTGGTATTTATATATTGTCTAAAATTATAATCAAATGCATCGAATATGACCAATAAACACAAGAAAAATCATGAAATTACAAATCTAATTAATGTCGTTGAAATTTTAATAAAGTTTGGTGCAAAATACTGGAAAATAGGGTGATGGTTTATTGATATTTTTTTCTTGGAGGAATTCTAATTTCAACCTTTAAGAGCCAAGATTATTAATTACATTTTGAAAAGAGAAGAATAAGTTTATAATGAACTTTGGTATATAATATTAGAGCCAGTCACCATGCATTTAAAAACTTTGGTAGCGTATTAGACTCCAAAATTTTGATTGATTGAGAAATTAGTTTGAAATTGATCAATTGGAAGTAATTTTAAATTGATTGAGAGTGAAAAAAACATTGAATTTTTTAGATGAATATAAAATGATTTTCAAGATCACTGTTTGAGAGTTAAATATCAATGTATATTATCTTTGTTTTATTGATATTCAACTAAATCCAAGGGTGAGCATTAATAAAATACAATTAGTTTGGAGTTAGTTCACAATTCAATTTCATGAATGAATATTATTTAGAACAACTTTTTTTTTTTTAGACAGACTCATTTATTCTCACATTTATTTTACTAAAAAAATCTATATAATATCCTCTAGGAGTGGAAAAAAAACTCTCTATCCTCCACTTATCTCATCGGTAAATATCTTTACTCGTCTTACCGATAATCTGTACAATAAGTACATTTGGTTCTCCTCCTTCAGTGATTGGTAGACTGTTTTTGGCATTACATGCTGGTTGTTTTGGGCAACAACCTGTCCAGCCTGGAGGAGTTCAAACAAGCCGTCTTCAGAATGATTGAGTACACTTTTCAGTGTTCTACCATTTAGACTATTATTTTTAGGCATCGTGTCCGAAAGGAGGATAAGTTTATCAACTAGACACCACCGCCTCAGAATTGGATTAAAATCAACACGTACGAGACGTTACGAGGGAGCACCAATATGGCTTGTGTAGGTGGAATTGGCAGAGATGACAATAGTAAGTGGCTTGGGGGTTTTTTCTGAAATATCGACACATGCTCCATTTTGCAAGCGAAACTTTAAGGGACGTTGGACGGATTGGAACTGGCTTGGAACCTAGGTGCACGACACATTATTTTGGAGATGGATAATGCACTTGTGGTCCAAATCCTGAACATAGTTCTTAACAAAGAGTTGATTCCTATCAACACTAACTCTAACCTGATTATAAAAATTTGGTTACTGAAGGATTATAATGTTAAGATTCAGCATATCTACTATGAGGGGAATTGTTGTACTGATTACTTAGCTAATCATGTATTTTTTTGGTCTCCTGGCTCAATAACCAGTCTTGTCCTTCTGCGGAGCTCATAAGCAGCATAAAAGAGGACATCATTGGAATTTTCTGGTATAAAATGTGCAATCTCTAGGCTTGCTTTGTCTTTGCTTATTCGTGTTTCTCACTCTTTTATATATATAAAAAATATCTTTACTCGTCACATACCATAATTGTAAGCACCTGATAACCACCCTATTTATTTATTTTATTTTTTTTAAAAAATTATAAAATATTCAAATAAATAATTAAAAATTATCTCAAAAAAATTTAAAATTTAATTAAAATACAATATAATTTAAATAATGTTCTAATATAATTAAAATTCAACGATAAATATAAAATTACATAATAAAAATATTAGTATAATACATTCAAACTAATTAGAAATATATAATCTACTATTACTATATATACTAGTAAATTAATTTTATTTGAATAGTCAATTATTCACATAAGGACTAAATTGAAAAAGTGATACTTATATACGTTATATTGGTGATTAAGTATTCACACTAAGCCAATCTATAATCATAAGGTACCAACACTAATCCTACATATATATATAAGAGAAGACATAAGAACCTCTATTTGCTATACTAGCATGCTAACCCTCATCTAGAACAACAAGCTTAACACACCCTTTAGATAAAATAATGTTTACATTCTCTTTTTGAAACCACCTACTCCCTACCCTCACCTTGCCCCTAAACCATGTTTATGTCTAATATCTTTGTAATCCCAATAATCCTCCTCGAACCCAACCTTTTATGAAAAAGATTCCAAATCCTCTACCATCACTTTCTTTCGCCATTCATAACCTATATGTGCTTGTTATCCCGTCTTATCTTCAACCATAATCACCCATGTCTTCCCCTCATATCTCGTATGTTCTACCTTTAAATCACGAACCTATAAATAAAATAATCATAAACAAAATTAGAAACTAATTAATTTGTGAGGTTACAATCACTAGTCCCACATCACCAATTTAAGGAGGATTCAAAAAATGGATATGCTTAGTAATGTTGTCGATTCTTATGCTTTGTTTATGCCTCCTCTTTGAATATTGATCATTGCATGCTTCCACCTAACTTAGTTTCAAATTATCTTGCTTTTCTTGTAAATTAGAATTAAAGAGAAATTGAACATCAAGCAACCAGTTTATCTATTTGAAAATGCTATCAACTTATGCACAAAACAACATAATTATGCAACAAAAGATATGATATACAATATCGTATAAAGCAAGTTATTACATCAAGATATGCTTTGTAGGATGTGTTGTTGCTAAGTTCCGTTATAAACCTATGACTTCAACTCACTCGGAAAGAGTTACCTCATATCCAAAGTAGAAAATTGATGTCCCTACTCACAATTATTCTAACTACTCAGGTAACATTGTTCACACACAATTCCTCAAATGAGGTCAACATTTGATTGATAAAGCATCTTCAAATCAATCTAACTCGAACATGATTATGGATCTCATTGATACTCTTTTTTTTTTTTTTTTTTTT